CGGTGGGAAGGAAATGGTAGCCCCTCTACTTGTTACCTTTCCTTGACTACCTAGTTTAGACTTGTCAGGAAGTGTGAATGGATATGAAATGAATGAATCTGAACAGGGATTTAGACAACTGGACTTTTCATTGGCAAAAGACTATGATCATAGTGACACAAGTTCATGGTTCTTCAGAGCATATAGGGGCAAGCATAAATGATTTTTTATGGATTAGTAAGCAAAGTCCCAGGCCATAGAACATTATCCTCTGTAGAGAGGTCATTTCCATCTCTCATGCTTCAAACTATGAAAGAGCTAAGGGAACACTGGCAAACACAAACAAAAAAATGCTTGCAGTTTTGCTCCTAAGTGCTTACATATGAATTTTGCACAGTGCGAAGTCTTTACCAGGGTATTTATACCAGGAAAGTTTCTGAGACAATACATAGCTTATTGCTGCAGCAATGTAGACACGTGGGAGCTCAACATGGCACCAGCTGTACCAGAGAAAAATGTGAGAGAATTTGCCTTTATCCATCGTGTTTTGCAGCTTAGCTGGAAAAAAAAAAGAAAGCATGAGACCTGGTTGCAGTCACCCAAAAGGCCATTTTTCATTATATAAAGAAACACTGGGGAAAGGGGAGCAGGCTGAGATATCAGATCTGGCAGTATGGACAAATTGGGTCTGGCTGACAGGTAAGGGCATGCTTGGGCTGTGGTGGGAAGGGAGTGTGCACCTACTGTAGCCAGGTGGTTGCCAACGCAAGTTTAGCTCCTGGTGGTCTTATCTTGATTTAGACTGTCAGGGATGCTTTACTCTGTACCAGGACTAACAACAAATTCTTGGACATGAACACACGTGGATGTTGACAAGCTGGGTTAATTCATGTCCATGAGTAAGTACTGCTCATGTTCTCTGAAAGCTGGGGTTTACCAAAGCCATGGTAGGCTTTGTATAAATACAACCTGCCCCACACCCCAAAACAAGTGTTTGAATGGTCCTGACACTCTGGGCGTCACTTTGTACTTTCCCAAAAGCAGCAGCATGGCCCCAGGCCACCTAGGCGGCTGTCTGGCTGTGACTTACCCAATCCAATCTGCTTTAACAAAAAACCAGGCCTTATCCAGACAGAGGGCAGGCATCTGGCAGGATTGCAGGATCAGGCCCCAAACCCGGGAAATGAAACACAGCTCAGTTAAAGGCAATGGGAAAACAAAGTCACCTGGAAAGAGTTAGCCATTCAAAGTGGGGGCAGGGGAGAGAGGGGCCAGGGGAAGGGGTGCTGCTTTAATCTTTTCATGATATAAAAATTTTGTGACTGAATTAAAGCCCTACTGTTTGGACTGGATGATGTTATGCAATTCTCAGAAACAAGAGCAGCTGGCTGCGGTACAGATACCTCCTAGCAAGCCCTGCAGTGCACAGCACATCATTTACCGGGGCTGTAAAAGAAAGGACGTTTATTAAGGGGCTTGGGAGTGAAATTTGACATGCTGGCTTGGCTTTTAGCTGACTGGATTTCATTTACAGCTCCTGTTTTATTTTCTGCTTAAATAAATAAATAAATAAATGAAGCCCTCTTTGCCTGCCTTTCCTAACTGCTTTTTGGCATGCCTTTGGGTAAATCCAGTGCTGAGAGCCTGGGGGTCTTGATGTGAATGTTGCTAACCTTGTGACAATGTGGCTAAGCAGGCAAAGGTCCTGCCAAAATCCACATTCAGGAGGATCCAGAAAAGGAGTACAAGTAATGGAGTTAAAAATCACCTGGCTATTGGGAATTTTCACTCTGAGGAAAAAATGAGAACAAAACAATGTCCTGAGCCCACCAAATAATGTGAATTTTACAAACATTTATTACTATTTCCTGATCCTTCCTCTTCCTGCCTTTTACCCGCCTCTTCCTACCAGCTGCACCATCAGAGTTGCTATTTCTTCCTTGCCTTTGGCTCTTTCTTTCTTTGTGTAATTCAGTGGAGAGAAAAAAAAGTAGAAATCAGAGTTTTGGGGGCTGTGTTCTGTCATTTAACCGCAGGACAGATCTCCTTGCTGATGCAGTTGCCAAAATGGACCCTGAGCTTATCCTGGGGTCTTGCCCTGTTTTGCACTGGTGGAAGGTGACACTGGCTGCTCTTACACAACCTGTCCTGGCTTTCCCACAGCACCTAAGTCTGACAACAGTGGCAGTGCATTGATCATTCACCCATAGGTGATGTGGCTGAGAAATAGTTGATGCTATTATTTTTAATACTGTTTTCCAAAGTCATTAAGAAAATTCCCTTTAGAAAATATGCCTCTGGGCATGTCAATGAGCTGTCACTGTTGGGATCTGGGGAGTCCAGCCATTGTCTCAGGAAATTTCTCATTTAAAAATAAAATAATGTAACCCCTCCCCCGAGGTTATTGCAATAAAAGTATCTACAGCTAAGTACTTAGGCTAAATAGCTAAACTTTAAGTAAAATACTTTTTTAAAATATGCAAATATAAGTACTTGAAATGTTAAGGATTTACATCTGTAACTTCAGTTCTGAAGGTCCTGAAAGTAAACTTGGTGGCACAGGGGATAGCAGCAGTTTCAATTCCTCCACACTTTGGAAATAACACTTTGGAAATCACCTTATTTCCTTATAGGCCAAATTTTATTTAGCCATTCCTCCATGCAGTACTTCCCACAAGAAACATGTGAATGTTTAGCAGCTGTTACTGGATTTTTTTATCCCTGTATCTGGTGTTTTAAGGTTGAATAGCCTGGCCCTTTGCCTTCCCTATGCTGGCAGACAACTCTCAGGCCAGCAGTGTGCTAGGCTACTAAAGGAAGTGCTGTGATCAGTGCTAGTGGGAGGACCTTGGGAAGTGGGATGCAGCTTTCTGGCCTCTCCATAGGCGCGATGCCATGCGCAAGCTGGACCAGCCACGGCACTCACTGTGGCTTTGCATGCTGCCTGTGCTATTGTCATTTTCAAAAAGTGTGGGTTTTTTTATTCCTGGTTTAAAGATCCTAGCAAATCTTGGGAGAACAGCTAGTACAGGGGAGGACATATGTGCCAGCATGACTGAGTGCTGGTAGTTAGTCACTTTGTATTAACTAAGCTGGGCATGATCTGAGCAGCAGAGTCATCACGTGGGCAGGATCCCAACATGGCACTGAGCAGCATGAGAAAAACACCAAGGGCTGCATTCCACTCTGGGATCTAACGTGCTGGCTTCAGCAGAAGCCATGAGAATGTAACTACTGCCAGGGGATAGGCCCAAAGTTTAGTATTTCTCCAAATGAAGTATAAAAGTAATTACGAGCTTGGCCTGTAACACTCGGGTCTGAATTCATAACCATCTGGTGCTAATGGCCTGAAGAAAAACTTCAGGCAAAGGTTTCATTTTACTTAATATCTGTCAGAAAAGTCCCTGGGCAGTGACTGCAGCTTTACTCATTCGTGATGGAGGTTCATAGCTGCTGTCTCGCTGAGGTGTAGTAGGGTGCAGAAGCCTGATGCTGCTCTGCTTTGACTTTAAGGAAAAGGCACTGAGCACAGAAAGTGATGCTGCTTGGAACACACAGAAGAATTAACAAACTCAATATAATGTTTATCCTCCCCCCATTTTCACTTCAATGACATTAAATTTAATCTTCCTAAAATAAACCCTGCCCGGGAGTCTACTGAATGACTGTGCTCCTGAGAAGAAAAGGTTTGCATGCTGAAATTAACTCTCAGTGTTACCTATCCATGAGGAAAAGCTGGTTTTAGGCTCTTTGTTAAAACAAATCTCAATCCCATTCCAGGTCAGAACTGGGTGAAAGGACTATGTGGAAAGCATATATTTTTTCATTCCAACTGAAATTTTGCAAAGCCTTCCTGTCCCAAATATTGGAGTCAGATGTTCTATTTCTGAATAGGGCAGACAGAGACATGGAAGACTGTGACTTGATCAGATATGTTGATAACATACTGATAGAAAAAGTAGCAAACAAGATATCAGGCTTGTCTGACAATTCCAAGAGAAATTCCTCTGCCTACTAAAGTTTCTGTTGGAGACTTTTAGTCATTGCTGTGCAGTCCAGAAGGTGTTACTCACTAAGCATGAGAAATTGGAGTAAGAAATGGCAGAGCTATTCAACTTGCTTCTGTATAGACATTATGGCATCTCTATTAAAAACTTTGGGTCAAAACTCAAATGTTCCAGGTGGGAAATATCTTTTCTCTGCTTTCCTCTATGTGGTCCAAGTACAGCAGCTTGTGAAGACCATCAGAATTGTGATTCTGGATTGAAGTAGGTTTTCAGCAAAAGTACTTCAGTTGTTATTTCCACCCCACCAAAGAAAAAAATAAAATTTCTTGAAGACAGGAGAGTGCTTGTCTTTAAACTGCCCAGTAATCCTATTGCCACAAAAGAAGCAATAGCGGTAGAAATGAGAAGTCACTTTAAAAATCTACTTTCCTACTGTAATCTCAGCTTCTTTAAGTCTTTGCCAGCCATTCCTCCTTAACTCGATGTTAGACTCTCTCCCCTAAGGGCAGCTTGTCACGGCAATGAAAATGTTGCTGTTTGCCCAATCCATGGCAAGTCCTAATCACTGTGATCAGACTGAGGAGTTTGTCTGACCCTTAACCTTCATGGTGTGCCATCACACCGGTGGTCTTCCTTGATGGTTTTGAGCAAATTTTACAGGAGGTCACCCTTGGCAGGGCAGCATGGTAACTTTGGGTATTTGCTGTAAGCTGGTCCATTTGCATGCTCCTGATGAGTTTGCCCTTGGTTTTCTTGCACATTACCCCCTCTACATCGAATCGATGTAGAAATTTCCAGAGGTAAAATTTTGGTCTGTAATGTAACCACTCTGGTCACTTTCTTTCTCCTCCTCATCCCTCTCCCAAAACTCACTGGGAAGCCTGTGCTATTCTTTTCTTTTACTCATGGAGCTGTGGCTTATATCAAGACACACTGGAGAGGGAGCTCCCCCATGCCAGCACCAGCCTCAGCTTTACATTACTGTTCAACTAGCACCTTTCTCTTCTCTTGCAGTGTTTGCCAGAATCTTGAAGGCTCCCGAATCCCAAAATATCACCTTTGGTTCTGTGGTGACCTTGCGGTGCACAGTGGCCGGTCTTCCAGTCCCTACTGTCACCTGGCTGGAAAATGGGAAAGCTGTAAGTGCCTCTTTTTCATGCTTTTGGCCCTGGAGCACTGCTAGCAGACAGAAGCACAGCCCAGGGATTAAAATGCAGGGCTGGGAGCCAGCACCAGTGGTTTCTATTCCTGCCTTACTTAGCACCTTGTTGTGCAATCTGGTTGAGTCCACCTCACCTCTCTGCTCCAGCTTTCTCTTCTGAAAAACACAAAAACACTCTCCCCCTTCTTCAGGGTGTTGCATGAGCGAATTTTTTAGGATCTGGAAACCCCAGGCTGCAGGGTGGTTTAGACACTCTCAACCTTCCTCCAAGCCAGGGTTTCTAGGACTTTATTGTGGGTTTAAGTGTTTCTGCAGCTATCTTCCCTTTCCGTTTTTCTAGTGTGGTAACAAATATATGGCAAAATTGCTTATTTGACAAAATAACAAAACCCAAGGAGTTAGACAGGGCCAACTGTTTTAAGGTAAAATACCCATGTTTCCACAGCATACTTGCAGAAGAGAATAGACCTGAAGTTTTCTAGACTGACCTAGGTGACGCAATGAAGTATGTCACCAATTTGTTCCTGTCTAGAAGCGTGTCATCAAGAAAGACACACTCCTTCAGTGGCAGGCACCAAGAGATGCAAAACCACTATATCTCACAGGAAATTGTTCTGTGATTTAATGATCCTGACCATTTAAAATAGGTGCTTGCTTTGAATTTGTATGGCTTTCATGCCTGTGTGTAGACTATTGCAATGTTTTCACTTCAGCTGAACTGAAGAGTTGCTTGACACCCAATAGTGCCTCTGCAGGAGTGAGCAGTGCACCACAGTCACAGTAGCTCTGCAGCCTGAGCCTGCCATGGGCTTCCTCTAGTCTTCTTATGAGTGGGGTGACCATGCTTTATACTCTCTGTGGTCTTTCAACAGCTTTTTAAGCATGTGAGCCCCAGGGTGTGATGCTGTGGAGGCATGTGGAGCATCCGGTGACTACAGGCTGGCAATTTTCATCCACCCTTTCTCACTGACCTCATGTCCTTCTGACCACAGGCTGACCATGACCATTCATGACTTGCTTGTCAAACAGAACCAATAAATCCTCTTATTCAAGTTCCTTACTTCAGGGGCCTATCACCATCCTGGTCTGTATCCCTTCTTTCCACATATTAAAATATATTATTAAGGCCCCTGGGCTACTCAGCAGGCTGTCTTGCCTTCCTTACCTCCTCTAAACTTTATGATGTGCTCCAGTCTGATTAGGGCTAATATTCCCTCAAGGTTGGTAGGGAGAACAGCAAAGGGATCAGATCAGCCTCTGCAGAGAACTGTGGATCCTCAGTGGTTTCTGACATGGTTTTTGACAGAAGTTAATTTGAGACAAGTGCAAGTGTTTATTTGACTTCTTTCCCATTGGGATTGAAACCTGTTGCAGGGGTTTGGGGTACTTAGCAGGGGCAGAGTATTTCCAGAGCACAGACCTGTGCTCTGCCGAGATCCCTGTGTGTGGATCCCTGTGTGTGACATGATGTTCTACCCCTGCCTGGGGCCACTGTCTGGCTTGTCATATCTGCTCTGCCCCATCCCTGCTCTGGAAAGCATAACCCAGTCTCAGGAGGGTAGTGGTCCAAATTACCTCATTTTAAATATGGCAAGGAGGCCTTAATGAGAGACTGTTTCTGGGAAAGTCAGCAGGAAGTGGGTGGACTGTCGATCGTGCATTTGAAGGCTGGTTCACAACAGTAGTGAGTCATCAGAAGATGCAGCATTCCTGTGGCATTATGGTCTCTGAACACTGACCTGTAATTGTCCTGAGGCTTAAAGAATGGGATTCTTGCTGAGCTTATTGAACTGCCCTTGAAGAGAAGGATGGAAACTCCTCTGTGCAGCAGCTGCCTTGCCTACCTAAATAGAAATACAATTCATTTTCCTCCTGCTACACACCACAGGGCATCATGGGCCTTGTAATTTGGTTTTTCATACTCCAAAGAATAAATGAAGCAGGTGTGAAGATGTGAAGAAGTCTCTGGTTTGGTGGTGGCTGAGGGGGTATTTTAAGGGCTAAAAAGAGACCTGCTAGGAACAAAATCTCAGGAGATGTATTTGAAAAGGGAAGGGAATCAATTAACACAAGGGGATATCTTGAGGTTCCTGGTAGAGAAAACCACAGCTGGCCGGTGTGGAAATCCTAGGCACCACTACCCCACATGTTCACCTGTGATTTTCCATGGTACATGCTGCTCATACTGCTTGCAGTTACCTGAGCAACCTCTTCCTTCTGCGTCCAAGCTGTAATAAAAAATCCCAGTTCTCTGTGCTCACCAGTCACAGTTCAATGCTGCCAGACATGGTACACCCAAGGCCTGAAGATCAAGAAGTGAGAGAAGACTGGATTAGCAAAAGCTGCCTGGGGCAAGCAGCCACAAATCCCAGTTGGATGCTGGGAGGCAGGAGCAGCCTGTAAGAAATTCCCCTTTTCTACTGGGAAGGTATCCCTTCCAAATAATTCAGCACATTATTTTAGTGCTGAATGGTTTCTGGAGAGAAAAGGATTCTAAAACTAAATCTGACCAGAACTGTAATAAAAGAAAATTGTGGAAAAATATCCCCTGAGCTTCCATGCACTTGAACGGACTTCACAATGTAAGGGCAAAAATATCCCTGGCCCCTGTATTAACACAGTGACTGGCATACCTGGTGCAACACTTGCAGACTGTTCTGGTCTGATTATTTACTGATTTCTTCCCATACACATTCTCTTACCACAATTCCAAGTTGAACTTGAGTGAGGCAAAGCAAATATTTTCTTCTCAGCATTTTCTTTTTAGAGAAGATCCAATCTGCTTATAAAAGATGTGATACAGCACTGATGTGTTCCTTCTTGTTTTTTCAATTATAGCTGTTAATACATATGGGTATTTCATCTCATTGAAACATCTCATTGAAAGCACATTTCTACTAACCCTCTGGGAGGTCAGATTGATATCTCTGTCTTCTCAATTAGACACATAGGTAGAGTGCTTTGCTGGGATGGGTCCAGGGAGACAATTATCACTGTTCTTAGAGTCAGGTCACACCTCTGGGATCCACAGTCAACCATATCTCACTTGAATTACATTTGATGCTTCCTCTCAGTATGAAGATTAAAGCAGGCAATGCTGCTCCTTCCTATTGCTCTTGCAAGGTTGATGTACCATGCCCTCCTACTTTAATGAATTCCATATGAGCAGGAAAGACTTGATAAAATCAAGCCCAACTGGCCAAAATTAGCAGACTCCAAGCTCATTTACCTGGGAATTTCTGATCTGGCCAAAATCACCACATTTGCAGCCCCTTCCATATTTCAGTTGTGAGATAAAAAAAATCTACCGGCTATTTGTTGGAGCTATAGCACTTTCTTTGCTCATGGCTGCTTTGAAAGTGTGGCAGTGGTTATATTAATCCAGAATCAATGACTTCCAAACTATTTTCTTTTCTTCCTCTGTATAGCGGATGTCCACAAAGTCACCTTGTCCCCTTCCTTGCTAAGGCATGAAAAGGCAAACAATCTACTACAAGAAGTCCTGGAGTAATTAGCCAGATAAACTACATGAGCCAAATTGCGACTGTGGCCCTCTGGAACTGACAAATAATTGCAAAAATATTGTGGAAGTGTGAAATAGGAGACCTTTAACATTTACTTTTGTCTGTGAAGTCAGCTGCTATGAAAGGACGAAAGTAACCCCAGCAGCTTTAGCTCTCTGCCACCTTCATCTATATGCCACATCTTTCTCTGCTAATTTAAATGCTTGTGGCTGTACCTCTTAGATTTTACCTTAGTTTGCTTGTTTGCCCCTTTGTTGGAAATATCACTGCAATGGGCTTTTCACTCTTTTAGGTTTCTGCAGGGTCTATAATGGAAAGTGTCAAGGACAGAGTGGTTGATTCCAGACTGCAGGTGTACGTCACCCGACCTGGCCTGTTCACTTGCCTTGCCACGAACAAACACAGCAAAACTTTTGGAGCTGCAAAAGCAGCAGCAACCATCAGCATTTCAGGTAGGTAGGGAGAGAAGGGGTGATTAATTTTTTACTCTTGCAATCACAGTCTTAGTTTTTCTGCTGGGAGAGAAGAAAGGGGCGTGAAGTACTCTGGAGGAAGAGGGAAAGCCTTGGAAAGCTGATGGCGTGCGGGGGCTTAAATTTGAGTACAAGTGCATCCCCCACCAGGCTATTTCCTCATATATTCTTACACTTTGGAGACTGCCACAGCTGTCATTTCCTGAATGTTTGATGCTGTCTTGTACTTTGTGTCCCAGAAGTGCACTTGGTAAATTCATCCATGTGAAGGAAGTCGTGGCCATGACCCAGCATTGGTATCACCTAACAGCAAAGTGAAAATAGCTTTGAACAGTTTAGCTTCACAGGGGATTGCATCCAGAGAGCAGGGAGGTTGCTGTCAGAGTAGTATCCCACCCTGTCTGGAGTAATCTCTGCTTCCAGAGACATCTCCTAAATGTGAAAAAGATGTTCCAAAGGGAAGAAATGCCAAAGGTCAGAGCTAGCTAGCAACATTTGGCACACAGAGAAAAAGGTGGCATCTTGTGCCTTCCCTCTTTGGACAGTCAGGGAGGTATAGTTAGAGGAAAGAGCAATCCCACAGAACATGGGATGATAGCCCTGGTCCTGCTTTTAACCAGGCATGCACCTGTTCTTCTCTCTGTGCCTTAGCTGCTGCTTTGTTGAAAAAATAACCATGCTCTTTCTTACACTGGGCATTGAAACCTAGCAGCAAGCTCTGCCTTGTAAGAGACTCAGCACTTGATGCTGTATTTCACAACTTCCGTACTTTTTGTATTTTTCAACTGTATCTTTTTGTATTTTTCAACTTCTGCTTTTAGCCCAGGCAAGTCTCTGTCCCACAAGTGCAGTGGGGAGGGCAGGTGCTTTGGGCTGGTGGGAGGGGTTGCGCTGCTCTCCTCTGGGCTGTCTGTGTTTAGCAGGAGGGGAACAGTTGCCTAGACCTGATCAGGAGTCTGCCTTAGCCTTGTTCCATCTCACAAGAGTCCCAGGGCAGAGGTGTCCCGGTCCTTGGCTGGCACAGCCCAGCTCCCTGTGGCACTGGCAAGCTGGAGGCACCGTCATGTGACAGTGCTGCATCTCCAGCCCTAGTTTCTCTTGCCTGTTACAGCTGCTGCCTGAAGTAATGAGTACATGGGTGGTTTAAACAGAGGGTACTACCTGCTAGTTATGTAGGACCCAAAGGATCAGGGTAAAAATGTGAGTTTAGGGTGTAACAGTCCAATTCAGCTGGCACTGAGTCAACAATGCACTTCCTCCTCCTCATTCCTTCTCTCTTTACAGCATCCAGTGTTGCCCCACATTTCTTCCCCACAAGAAGGTACAAAAAAAAGGACAGAATTTAGGTGCATTCTTTTTCAGACAGCTTATGGTTCTCAGACAGATTTCCTATCATGGAAATGCCAACTTACACATCTCAGAGGGAGCAGTGAAGTGTCACTGATATCTTTTCCATTTCTTCTTTCTCCTGGTTCATCACAATTCCTGGATTTGGTGCTTCTTGGCAGAGTGGAGGTAAGAATGACTTTCTGTGGCTTTGTGGAAGTTTTTTCTGGACCAGGGAGAAGAGAAATGATGAACCAAGGGGATTTGGTTAGTTTGGCTTAAATAAAGGGAGAGGGTTTTAGTATGCCAGTCACGCAAAAGAGGTTCACCTGAAGGGTACACTGAGCTCCTTTATAGAGGCATAATTGGAGACTGAGCTCAGGTAGATAAGAATGATTTTGTATCAAGAAAGTGGTGGGTCACACAACAGTAAGGGTGTTTGAAATATAGTAGTGGGTAGAATATTTTGTAGTAAATTCTGTTCACAGTTACAGACCCACAACTTCACTTGACCTTATAAACTTACATGGCAAAGCTTAACTGCAAGTTAAACTCCTGCGTATACACAGTCAGTAAATGTAATTTGGTTTGGTGATGACCAGGTTAGGGCAAGAGAAGTTTAAATTTGTTCCAAGCAGTTATGAACGGTCAAGCCACTTATGTGTGATGGGAAATGCACCTCTGCGTAATATTTTTTGAACAATTTAGCTGGATTTTTGTTTTTGCCATATTTTTACATGCTGCACTGGCAGATCACTCTGGAAGGAAAAGAGAGGATTAGCTTGGGAGGTGGGCTGGGGGCTTCTGGCCCTCAGAGAAATCAGCATGGCCCGAGAAAGTCTGAGCAGATGGCTTTACCAGTCTGCTGACACAGGCCCCCTGCAAAGGCCATCATCTCCATTCCAGGGGCTTGCTAGATTGATTCAGGAAGTCTGTAAGTGATTAAGTGACCACCAATGATGATGGCAGACCTATGCCTTACACCTGCACCTGTGAAGGTGTCACAGGCGTGGGAGCAGTGCTCAAATGCTGAGCCTTTCAGTCCCACAGATGTTCTCAACACTCACTGCACGAAATTCCCTTTCTGTGACAAGGCAATGTGAGAAACACGTCATTGCTACTTCTCCATTGCAACTTGGTCTGTGTCTCCTTGAATGTTTTAGAAAATCAAGGAATCACAGCCTAAGCACTGAGGGCTGTTGTCAGGCAGCTTCTGCAGCCCACTGAAGTCAGCAGCACAGCAGCCTCATGCACACCTGCCCCTGCTTTTGCCTCTTGGACACAGGAAGGTAGCAACTTTCAGATTAAGCACAATGGGTATGATTGGGAAAATGTAAACAACATGAACCCTGAATGCCACAAACAGTTCTATCAGGGTGCTGGGGGCATTGCATCGCTTTGGGGCAACATGCTGTACACCAGGGTGATGTCTTGGGCTGTGAGACTGGTGCAGCATGCTGGTGGACACCTGTGTCACGTGAAGGCATGTCCATGGAGCCTGGGATGATGCAGGGTGTCACAGCATCACTGACATTTTGGTAATATCTCAAGGGGTTGGTTCCTTTATTTTTTAGCCAACGCGAAATAGAAAAAAATACAATTTAAAAAAAATTCACATGGAAAAAATATAGCAACTGAAACAGGGCCAGGGAGTGTCATCTGCAAAGAGCAGCATTTGAAAAGGAGAAATGTGAGCATACTGTGTACTTCCTTGTCCATGTATGTCCAGCTTTCTGAAGAAAAAACAGCAAGAAAACCCAGAGTTAACAATGGGTGATTATTTCGACAGGGGAAAGAAATACAAGGCAAAGATACAAATAGCTCTGTTGACTGCTCCAAATGGTTGGCATGTTGTGAATTGAACTCCCTGACCCCAGTTACACTGACCAAATGAGCAGTGGGGACAGCTGCACCCCGCCCTCCTCCCTTCCCGATTTGGCCATCCCCCACGCACAGGGAGTCTGTTATCCCAGGTTTCCCTCCCATGCCAAGGACACTGCATCCCACGGGCTGCCTAGGCAGAGGGCATCTCCTCACCCGCAGACCTTGCTGCTGTTGGGTGACTGTGGAAGCTACAGCTACAGCTGACCTGTGCACTTCCCTTGCCCTGCTGCTCCATTTTCATGGCTGTGAGGAAGAGGGGAGGGATCTCCTAGATGCAAAAATCACAGGAAAGAAATAAATGGCCCTCAAATGAGCTGGGCCTAGTGTGCTTTTTATTGCTCTTGCATAGCTTTGTCTCCGTCCTTTGTGGCAGGAGTTTGCAATGTGGGAGATATGGTTAGGAGAGGAGAAGATGGACCTTGCAGGGAAGAACCAGGAAGAAAAATTCAGAGACTTGTGCCTTCCTCCTCTCTGTGTCTCCCACCTAAACACGTGTGGAAGTGAGGCAGGGTCAGGAGGGGTGCAGTAGCTGAGGAGGGGCAGGCAGGAATTTGATCTGATCTTGTGAAAAATTTCCTGGCACATGTTGTATTGGACTTTTCTGGCTCTTGCTCATCAAGTCCATCCTAAATTAAACAGTTGTTAGACGGCAGAGCAAAAAACACTGAGTTATAACAGGGCTGCAAAAGAAGCATGGCTGATGCCTACTGCAGGGAAAATAAAATGGTTTCCCATAGGGCCTAGGGAGAAGGTGAGGGGCCATGCTAGGCCACGGTTGTGTTTGATTTCTCAGTCTTTTGCCTGCTTATAAAGTTCAAAATACTTGGCAAGATCCTCACTCCTGGAACTCACTAGGGCTCACACCAGGGTACTTTGCAGAATTTTCATTTTTGGAATATATTAGCTCGTTTTAGTGATTTTAACCGTCTGCTATCTCCTCTGCCCTCTGTTAGCCTTATACATTCTACTTTATTCAGAAACAGAGCCTAGGCATTGTGAGCCTACAGCTATTTAGAGCTGTGAGCTTACTCTATGTGTGTATTCTCTTGTCCTCAACAGCAAGCTGTACAAGGGTGATGCAGGTTACTGCAGCACTTACAGAGGTGAGGTGTGCAGTGCTATCTTGGCGAAGAATGCTCTTGTTTTCTTCAACTCCTCCTATGCTGACCCAGAGGAGACCCAAGAGCTGCTTGTGCACACTGCCTGGACTGAACTGAAAATGGTGAGTTCATTCTGCCAACCGGCTGCTGAGTCTCTGCTGTGTAACTACATCTTCCAGGAGTGCAATCCCTCCGGAGCTGGGCCAGCTCCAAAACCAGTGTGCAGGTAAATGAAGAAAAAAATGCTCATATTTCACTTTCATTTCATGGGGATGTGTAGGCAGCTGTGGAGTGGTGAGGGACTGACCAGGTTTCCAGTAGCATTAAGTGAAGTTGGGCCCTCTAGGTTTGCATAGGTTTTCCCTTTGCTCTCTTCTCTGTACACCCAGAGATAACTGATTCGGCTCTATCTGTGCTCATTGCTAGGGTACAGACCGAATTCCAGGCCCAGACCTTTGTATTATATCAGGCATTTAGTGGACAGTGTTGAAAAGAAGTATCCATTTGAATGACACAGTTTGTTTAAATAATTAACATATTGTTATCAGTTAAATCTTCCTATGTCAGTCTGTACTTACTATTACTATCAACAGTAATTGCTTATTTGGAACTTTGACTAAATACAGCCCCAGAGTATGCAATAAATCTGGCCAAGGCAATCATTTAGCACTTTGCACTAAGACAAAGATGGAACAAAAAAAGACAACACCAGAGATACTGACACTGTAATTGTACCTGCTAAACCAAAACTCCAATCTGGCTCTTACATCCTTCCATATGCAGAGAAATGTCCATTGAAACTGGGCTGACAGGGACCCTGAGGAGTCCAAAGCATCTCTCACTAATCCACTGCTGACAGATATTGGTGCACACATCCCAGTGGTAGAGACACTGCTCCCTCCCCATGCAACCTTCTGAGCAGTCCTTCCCTCATTCCTTGTCCTCCCACCACGGCCATGGAGGCGAGTTTCTTCCTTTCCTCTTTGCAGTGAGATTTTAAATCTTCCCATTTCTCTGACTAGAAAAACCATTTTTTTCCAAGCTCTGCACATAGCTCTTGCTTTTCTGGCCAGGTCCAAGTTCTGTTACTGTTGACTATAATGGAGTTACGATTGCTTGGTGCTTCTTGCCGAGGACAGCCCCTCATAGATATATCAGGATGAAGCTTTCTTTTTTTCCTAGCATATTCACCCCCTGGAGGACTAGTCATTACCCATTTCACATTTGGGCAACTGACATCCTTGCCCAAAGTGCAGTGCTTTGTTCTCATCTTCCTTGAAACGCTTTTTAAAAATTTATTCAGATCTCTGTTTGTTGGAAGAGCAGCCACAACTCTACTGTCTCAACTAAAATACAAGTCTTCTGTGCAGATATGGCAAGCACAGTGCCAGCTGGACTTGGGTTAGATATGGTCTACTGACAGTCATTTTTCCAGTTATGTAGGGGCTTTTCAGGGCAATAGCAGCACTTTGTTTTTGTAATCTGGATCTTACTGGTTGCTCCTCCTTTAAGGTCTCTAAAACAAAGGCACAGAGGAAAAGCCCAGTATGAAGCTTGACTATACATTCAGTTTTCTATTTGGTATCTATGATGTTCAATATTCCACCATCAACAGAGTGGTGGCATATATGCTACAAAAAAAATTGTATGTGCAAGTATCCAGAGATAATCATGCAGCCAAGTACTGAAACTTGCTTTTTACTGGCAGACTTCTCCCTGCCACCTCATTATTCTCCTCTTTGTCACTGTGCCCTTAAGTACATGATCTCTGTGCCTTTTTTCAAGATGTGTGTCAGTATTTATATTTCAGCCACACATGTACAGCACATTTGTCAGCTAGGGATTTTGCACAGTGCTCCACAAAGCATTGCAGTTAGATCAGGGCCTTGCTTCATTTACTTCTACTCAAACGTGGCCCTGTAGGACCAGAACTCATGGTAAGTGACTGAAGGCTTGCAATTCTGGGGCAGTTCTAAAGTCAGAGTGACATAAATCAACATAAATCTGCACTTGATCTTGAGCTAACAGGTACAGCATTTGCAAATATGTCTAAATGTTAATGGATTTGCCTGGCATCATCCTTCTTCAAATCCATGAGTCAGTGCTGGGTTTTTTTTGATTATTACCCCCTCCCCCCTGCTCCTCCCCCACCTCCCCCCCCCAATTTTAATGCAGCTTTCTTCATAACAAAAGCCCTGTAACAGCATCCTTTCCAATTCTTGTTCCCAGAGCACATCAGCTGGACAGCAGTTCTTCCAAAGCCCTAGCCCAATACTCCTTTTGAAAACTCAGACATCTAATATGTACTTCTGAACAGCTGAGAGAGGTCTGGGGGCTCTTTAACACATCTCATGTGGTCTTGGTTACTTTCCAATTATCTTGATTACTTTTTACCGACAACTTTATACCTCTCTGCAGACACTGGCTAGACTACACAAGTTTTCAGCTGAAATACTTCATGAGTAAAAATTTAAGCATCTCAGAGGTAGGAGAATTCTCCTAGTTTTTGAGGGATATATTCCCCTTGACATATTTTCATGTAGTTTTGTCTTATTATTTATTCTCTGCACCAGTTTTTCTCACTCCATGTCATATTTTTTTAATGTTCATTTTGGTTTGGGAGCTATCTAGCAAGAATAACAACTGATAGACTAAGTAAAGCTTTTATAAAATGATCAGGGAATAAAACAATATGAAATGAAACAGAAAAAAGCAACATGGGAAAAGTTTCACTTCACGTAAGTTAAGATGTAAGTTGATTAAAATGAGAGTTTTTAAGAAAAGTGATGTCTCATTTCATAATTCTTGATTACGTCTGCCTTTTGCCACTGGCTGCTATTGTGACAGCAAAAGAAACATCCTCAGTTTCTATTTCAATCACTGCTGATATGAAGGGACAAGGCTGCAGGGAATTGTCTTTTGTTGGAAAATGTCTCACTTTGTTTGGGCCTAAGTGTCCCCACCTCCTCTTAAATAGTCTCTTGTGGTCCCTAAAAACACTACTGCCACACTTGTTCTCTTCTACCATTACTGTTCTTTGTCCATCTGTCATTTACATGACATGAAACTTCTAATAATAATCTGAAGTTATCTTTGCATATGATCTCATCAAGCTCTCCCTGCTCAGCATTAAGCGTTACAACAATGGTATGAACCCAGCTAGAGGAGACTGATCATCACTCCCTCTGGCTGCCTTACCATGCATCCAGGGTGGGTCTGTGGTAAAGATAACATTCCTTTAATGTGGGGGCAGACAACATTGCAGAGGAAGGGTCTTTTGTGTTTTGCAGTTGAATAAAGGGCTTATTTAAGGATGCTCTGGCTCCAGGAGTGAACAGAGCTAATTCAACCCAGATCTCCCAAGTCTCAGCAAATGCAAGTTTTTCTCATTTCCCTATCTAAGCATTTCTTTACTTCAGAAGGTCATTCCTGTTCCACATGTTGTTTAACATAAAAAAGATAAATTATACCATCTGGCTGCATTCTGGTTTCCATGAAGTGAGGAAGGAATAAACCAGCACTGGCTAAAACCAAGCAAAGAGCAGCTGAGCTTTGATGGCTTCAGCCTGCAGACTTGAAGGGCATCCACTAGTGTTGCAGAAAAGCTGTTGCCCTGGTAGAATTCCCAATGACCTGCATCCTTCAAGTCCTTTAGAGTATTTGGAGTGTTGATAGTTATTTCCAAATGTCATGGCCATCTGCTCTTGCCAAACCTTTGTATAATTAATCAGATTGCATCAGGTGATGAATTTGGCTAAATCCTTCCCCATGGACCCCAACAATACCTTTCTGAATCACTGTGTGATGGTTGGAAAAGTTATGGATCTGTTAAGGACTTCAGCTGAACTCAGTAAAAGTAACCTCTGCACAGAGCTGGTTTTTCAACTCAAACTCTCAAGAATAACTGCATAAATAAGCAAATAAGTGATAAATTGACCAATACAACAAGTCCACAAACTTTATAGTACAGTGTCTTTTTCCTTTCCTTTCCTTTCCTTTCCTTTCCTTTCCTTTCCTTTCCTTTCCT